CTCCCACCCAACCCTCTCTCCCTCTCACTTTTTACAACTTTATTAGGGCCTTCGATTATAACTGAGATATTTCCGTAAGAAGCTATGATACAAACTTTAAAAAAAGGACCATATTTTTTTGAGAGAAATTTTTTATTCTAGGAATTAGTAAGATGTTATACGAGGTTAAATTTTTGTATTAACCATAAAGAAAAATTGAGAAATATCTTACACTTCTTTCAACTTATTCTATCTCATTCTGTCTTTGTGATATGATTACTTTTCTTTTTTCCATTGAAAAAAGAGAAAAAGTAAAAACAAAAAGGACCATGAAGAGCTGGAGGAACCTAATTTAAATTCTTATAGTTAAGGAGTGCTTCAAACTTCCAACATGAAGGATATGCTCTCCCAAGGCAACTTTTCTGTTCCCAACCTCATCAACCACACTCAAATGCTCGCAAACATCAACACTGAACCCAACTATCCCTTCTTCTTGTGGTGTCAAAAACACCTTTTCAAACCCCAACAATTGCTTCTGAGGTGCATGGTGCACAGATGGGGGACTAAAAAACAAGAAAATCGTATCGCTTCCGCGCATTTTTCCCATGTTTTGGACTCTCACGTAAATGTTAACAGCTAGGTTGTTGCAGCTATGATCAACGTCGATGGATTTGCAAGTTAATGAGCGACAAACGTCACCTTCCTCGAGGGGGATTGAGATGAGCTCGGGTGCTTGAACTAGGTGATGGTTGAATTGGGAGTAGCTTAGTCCATCGCCGAATGTGTACACGGTTGGCCCGGTGTAGAACCGATAAGTTCGGCCCGGGTAGCCCGTGGCAGGGTCTGGTCTCATGTTCATGTTTGTCATGGGGACATTGTCTGCATAGGACTGTGGATACCATGTCATGGGTAATCTCCCACCTGTAGAGAAGTCAACCATAAGATTAGGAATTTAATCTAATAGTCAAGACACAAGACTCAATAAAAGAGAGAGTTTATAAAAAGAGACCCGGTCGGCCCGAACCCGAATTTTAACGACACTGCCCCAGCCTAGTCCACCACACGGCCTGTAAACTAACCCCAAATAATTTCAAGCTCTAATTAGTAAAATAATTTTCAAGTAATAAATTATGAATTGCAAGTTCTTAAGTCACGAATATTTTAAGTTATAAATCAGGACTTTTAAGATGTAATTTGTTTTATTTTTAAATAAAAAAGAAAAGTCCACGGGCTGCCCAGCCCACCCCATGGCCATCCAATCACCCGGCCTGAAACTAGTCAAAATGGCATAGAATCTAGAGCTAATTTCAATTTGTACCTTGAAAGATATTTTGATTCTCATTTTGTATCCTTCAACATTAAAAATTTTAATTTATACCCTCAATGTTATGAATTGGTAATAATATAAATTTAACTCAAACTATTGTTCAATTTTTTGTCATAAATTGAAGAATGTGAGGTGCAAGTACTTCAGACATGAGAATGAGATATATTCATCACTGTAAATCTTCATCTACGATCAATTTAACACTGTTTTGTGTATCGAAAATAAAGTTTTATTAATCAGGTAAAAACTAACTCTATCATGTGCAACTCACGACAGTCTATGTTCAAAGCATTTGCAAATCACGCGCTTCAATCGATAACAAAAACTTAAACGACAGTCTATGTCATTTCTACATTACTATTAAATCATAACATTGAGAACACAAATTGATATTTTTAATATTTAAGGGTGTAAATTAAAAATTAAATCATCTTTTAGGGTATAAAGTGAAATTACTCCGAAAATCTATGAAAGATTTGAATGAATTTCTAAAAGTGAAATAGGGTACAACAAACTTACCTGGATTATGAAACCCAAAGATCACATCAGCTATTGCAGCTCCACCAGCTTCGCCCGGGTACCCGACCCATAAAATGCTCGTTATTTTCGGATCATCTTTGGCAAATTGTACATCCATGCCACCACCAGACATTACAACAAGAATCACTGGTCCTTTGGAAACATTTGCAACCTCTGATACTAAAATTGACTGCTGGCCCGGAAGAGTAATACCGGCCCGGTCGAGGGTCTCTGCCTCGATACTTTGATCAGCACCCATTACGAGAACTACGGCATCTGCCAAGGCTGCTATGTTCTTGGCGTCATCGGCTTGGACACTGCTGCAGGCCACATTGGCGCAGCCCGGCTGATACACCGTCGCAACTGAGGCTGTTAGGCCTTGCAAAGGAGTTGTGTATTGGCATGGATTGCCTGAGACATAACTAAGATGATTGAATGAACAACAGTCTTGGGGTGTAAACTGAAATCAAGGCCATAATCGAAGCATATAAAGTGTAGTTTAGAAAATATAAAGGGGCAGAAAGTATAATTATAAAAACACGAGGGAAGCTATGACTCCTTGGACCATAATTAGGGGTGTCAAAACATAATGCGACATGAGATTAGAGAGTCTGGGTCTTTCTCAAACTATTCATTTCGTAAATGAGTCGATCCGATCCGATACAATTAATAAACGAATCGAATATGAGTAAAACTAATAAAAAAAATATACAATTGTTTATATACAGATTAAATATGATAAATACACGATATGAGTCATATGACACAATTCGTTAAACTTGATTAATAAATTAATTGAGGATGAATGGAGTGTTTTTAGCACGAACCCATTAAAATCCGACACGATTAAGAGTGCTAACCATAAGATACTCCATCATCTCGGATCACAACTAACCAAATAGAAAGTGGGTGTTCGAAATACCTTCATAGTTGCCAATCATGGTTTTTGTAGCCTTTGCATTAGGTCCAATTACTGCCAAGGACTTGATGGCATTTGGAGACAGTGGAAGCGATCCTGCAGTGTTCTTGAGCAACACTATCCCTTGTCTTGCGGTCTCTCGGGCCAGCTCTTGGTTTTTCGGGGTGCACACGTCGTTTGGACCAAGTTTTCCATACAGTTGATTGCTCGGGTCACCATCGAAGAATCCAAGTCTCATCAACGTTGCAAAATTGTTCGAGATAGCTCTGTCAATGTCCGATTCATTTACCAGTCCCCCTTTTACTGCAGTTTCAGTGTTCTTGGCGAGGAAAGATCCACAGTTGAGGTCCAACCCTGTGGAATTAAGACATTCAACATTTGGAATTAAGAAAAACAATCCTGCTGTTTTTTGCTTTCCCTGTCGACATCATAAATACTACTTATTCTCATTAGTTCAGTCACGATTTTCACCGGTTTGATTCCAAACCCTCGATGGAATGGATTCTTGAGCAATTCTTGGTCTTCAGTTGTATAGAGGGTTCATTCTCTCAGGGATCGAAAGTCCAAAAATATCGTATTTTAATTTTATTAAGAATTAAAATTTTGTATTAGTGCATAGTCTCACATAGTTCAGACACAGATGTTTTGGATAACAAATTGGAAATGCAAGAAAGATGAGAATCTTGATTCTGATCCATAAGAATTTTGATTTTACATTCCTGATTCATTTTAGTTTCCACCGAAATTGGAATGTTTTGGTCGTTTACATTCCTGATTAACTGCACAACAATATCCAAATTACTTGAATGCCTGAACAATTTAAAGGGTGCATGGCAAATGAAATCACCTGCCAATATAGCTGTGGCTGCAGTCTCCTCTGGTGTTTTGGTGTAGTGTTGTGAATTGTACATCTCGTTTAATGAATCACAGTCAGAAACTATGTATCTGCAGCACCAAAAACTCAGGTTAATAGGGCAGAGAATTTCAATAGCCTCAGTCATTACGAGGTCTAAGTAGGGTTGGTGATACGCACCCTACCCTCAAACCTGTGACACTCTGGTCATAATGACACAACTTTACCGATGTGCCATTTCCTGCCCTCATTTATAACTCGACTCATTATGATTATAGTAAAAGTTATGGAAAAAAAAACGTTACCCCCTTAATTTCCATTCGCCTCGAATCACCCCAGTTAGGAGGTCTGGATCACCACAGGTTGGCTTGCCATTGACTTGGTTGTAGGAACACATGACACTGGCGACATTTCCATCAACAACACAGCTCTTGAATGGGGGTTGATATGTATCATCCAGATCTTGCTGTGTCACCTAACTCACCACAACAATACAAACACAGTATGTTATTAGCTTCGCGTAAACAAACACAAGGAAATCATTGATTTTCACAAGCCTAAATTCACATGAAAAGGGAGAGAAATCGCTCCGATAATGGTATTATTGAATTTTAATAATTCTATTAGTACATAGGAACTATTTATAGGCATGCCCACAACCCTAAGTGCTCAAAAAATGCATTTAGAGCCCTAATTCTACGGAAATGGCTAAAATCAGAAAGTACAATCTAATTAATCAAGTAAAAGTAGATCTCCTCTGGAGTTTATGAAAGTTGAAAAAAATGAAATCCAATTTTCTTTAGTTAATTACAACTATTCTTAATCTTTCTTAAAACAACAGAACTCCTATTGAATCCCTAATATTTGGTCCGATCTAGGTTTAATGCACCAATCCCACTCCAATCATATTCTATCGCTCATTTTAGCTCTACTATTATCTTACCACTTTCTACTCTACCTTGGACGTGCGACAATCTTCTCTCTCTAATAAGTCTATTGCAACCTACTCTATTCACTTATTGATAACAAAAATAAAATAAAAGCAAAACCTTAAATTAAAAATTAAAATTTCGTCTTGACGTAAAATACCACGGCATTGAAATGGTATCTGTCAGTTCCTTTCCAATTATCCACATCATAGGCAGTGTAGTGTTTACAACAAGCAGCAACCTTAAGCCTATCTTTGTCACCATCATCTCTTTGTTGAAGGCCTCTTACGTATGCTGATCCATATTTACTTGAAAGCAGAGGATCTTCTCCTGGAGTTTCTTGGCCTCTTCCCCATCTGGGGTCTCTGAATATGTTCACATTTGGGGACCAAAATGTCAACCCAGTCAAACCCACATTGTACATTGCTCTGGCTTCAGTTGAGACCACCTGCAATGCAAATTCAATTGCACTATTGAGTAAGATTTGGAATAAGTCGTGTCGATTTTGTATTGAGTTTACGGGTCGTGTGAACATTAGACTAAACTGACCACTTTAAAACAAATGCATTTAAGTTGGAAACTTTGCCCTTTTAGAACATCTGGCACATTATGCAATATGCATACACATAAATGTGTCTGGGCAGTTTCCTTTCATAGATTTCCATTATGGGTGTACCATATTTGCATACCCTTTTGTTGATTTTCCTTCAAATGCTCTAAATGATGGGTCACGCACTGTGTATTGTTAGGGATTCCATTCTATGTCATGAGTCAGACTTGAATTCATAGAGAGAGAGAGAGAGTTCATTGCATAGTATTTTAGTCTTTACAATAGTAAGCAATGAACTCTCTCTATCTTTCTCTCTCTCTCACACACACACACAATGACAGGTCTGTTTACATGGAAAAATCATATCTCTATCAACTTAGTATCAAAGCAGCATGCATTAGCTCAGTCCATATCTCAAACATTATCTCTACGGAAATTGACTACAAAATTGGATTTAGGTCAGTGCCGTCTGCATAATGCATGGATACAATAACTCAATGATAACCTCAAATTCACAATTCCGGATAGAGACCCTCTTTATTACATTTTGAACTAATTTTACTCGATAGTAGTTTATCTATCAATAATTCAAATGGAATCTACTGTTTATAATTAAATTTCTCATACATATGCGACAAATAGAGATAATTTGAATCCCACAATCAGATATTATGAAAAATGAAAACAGAGACATTAACAATCATGTACATTTTGATCCCTAACAAAACCCAAGTCCCAGTTTCTCTCTCAACCTGTTTACCCAATAGTAAACAACATAGATAGTCTTTAAATTAGATCCCTTGTCTTGATAAAATTCTTGAATTTTTTTTGTGTCAATTGAGGTCTTAGACTCTTTAATTGTATCAATTGAACCTTTTTGTAATTGTATCAATTGAACCCTCAGAAATCAGGGGCCTCAATATCTAACAGAAATCAGGGATGGTGACACAAATGATTTGAATAAATTACACATATGTCACTAAAATTATGACTTTTATGTCAATTAAACTCTTGAACTTTTTTTTTTATTGTGTAAATTGAGCCACTACACTATCTAATTGTGACAATTGAGTCATTTTGTTTTTTTGTGTTGTATAGTCACGTGAGTGACACACTCTAATGGGGTAGACAAAAAAGCCCAATTGACATAATTAGAGATTTTATGGGTTTAATTGACACAAAAAAAAATTAAAAACTTAATTAACACAAATTTTATAGTTTTAAGGTCACGTGTAATTTACTTCAGAAACAATCATCAAAATGATACCATCTAACCCATTAGCCAATTCAAACCACACAGAGAGAGAGAGATGAATGAAAATGGGGCAACGAAGCTGATTAGTGATTACCTTTCCGATGGCTTCAAACAGAGTAACATTGAAAGAAGCCGCCGCGAGAATAACCTGAGGGAAGCTAGTAGCTCCCGGAACGACACCGGAGAAATGAGTCCCTAGACCGTCGTAAGAGACTCCATGTAAAGCCTCAGACCACCACTCATACTTTGGAATTCCAAGCCTACTCACTTCCCCTGCACCACTCACCAAGAACCCAATTTTCTCCTGCAATGTCAGCCTCTTCACCAGATCATCCACTCTAGTGTTCACGTCCGACGACGGATCGCAGAACGTAAAATTCGCCAACCCGGGATTACTATCGGCATCACAGGCGAAAACAGGAGAGGTTTGAGCGAAAACTTGGTGAGTTTTGAAGAATAGAAGGTGAAAGATTGAGCAGAGAATTTGGATGCAGAACAATGGTGATCTGTTCTGAGAGGCCATTGTTATGTGTGGCCTCCCAGCAGAAGAAAATAAGCGACCTTTACAGATGTGAATGTGGCGTGTGTCTGAGTGAGAGAATCTGTGTAATACTACAATCTCTGGTTGGTTTGGTTTTATAGAAGGTGTGTGGAAAAAATAAGTAAGACTACCTAGACCTAGACTTATTTTATTTTTTTAAATCAGAAAGACAGTTTTTACATAGTAAAAAATATCATTAGACTAAACTTATTTTATTGATTGAGCAATAATATTGGGAGTTAATTATTAATTTAATTTGTTAACCTAATTTATAATGACTTTTAAATTAATTGTAAGTCTCATAAAACATTAAAATTTAGTATTGATCAAATGATTGCACTAAAGTTACATCATTAGGTTAACAAATTAGGTTTAAATAATATTATTTTTGTTGACTAAAACTTAAGAGTAAGAGCGATGATATTTGAACTGAAAAATTTGACTTAATTTATTAATTTAATGATTATTCATAATTATTAAATGAACAATGAGTCTCAATATTTATTGTGACCTGCAAACAATTCAAATGGTCAAATGGTTATGATAGATTATGTTAATAAATTAAATTTAAAGAGTTTGCTGACCTAATTCACTATAACTTTTGAATTGACTGTGGAGCTCATTAAACATTAAAATTTGGTGTTGATCCAATAGTTCTTTGAAGTCACATCATTATGTCAACAAATTATGTTAGATTTTTAGATCCAAATAATATTACTCAATTTTAAATAGCATTACTAGGGAAAAAAATTGGATGCTTATAAAGCATTAGGTGACAATGTCATTTGGTGCCAACCTCAAATGACATTTTGCCACACAACTAGCTAGACTCCAAGAGTTTCATTTGGTGCTTACACCCAATGAAATTTTGCCACATAATTATTTATTTATTTTTAAAAAAAAAAAGTAAATATCACTGACATCATTTGAATTTAAATCATATTTTACTGACATTTTTTTTTAATTTTTGAAATATCACTGTCCATCCATGTGGTTTCTAACTTTCTATATGCATTTCATAAACCACCCCTGCTGCCTATGTCATTACTGACAAATAAAAAAGTTGGTTATGTAAGACTTATTCTCTTATTAATTACAAAGTTTACCCTTGGTCGTTAAAACAAGATTAAAACAGTAGGCAGCATCGATTTATGTTAATTTTATAAAATTAAATGACCATTTCTTATTGATTTGATGAAAATGATGTTAATTTGATAAATTAAATGTTAAATTGATAAAATTAAATATAAATTTGGGATTAATTTGATGAAATTGAATATTAATTTTATGCTAATTTTATAAAATTGAATATCAATTTGATGAGATTGAATGTTAATTTAATAAAATAAAATGGTAATATTATAAAATTTAAGATCAATTTCACGTTAATTTGATAAAATTTTTTATTAATTTGATGAAATTTATTATTGAATTGATAAAAAGTGAATGTTAAATTGATGAAATTGATAGTTAATTTGGTGTTAATTAAATCAAATTTAATATTATTAGAATGTTAATTTGATATTAATTTTATGAAATTGAATATTAATTTAGTACTAATTTAACAAAATTGTATATTAATTGAATGAAGTGAATGTTAATTTGATCAAAGTAATGGTTAATTTGATGAAATTGAATATTAATTTCATATTAATTTAATAAAATTAAATATTAATTAGATAAAATTGAACATTAAACAAACAAAGTTAAAGCTCAATTTAATGTTAATTTAAAGAAATTATATATCAGCTTTATATTAATTTAATGCAATTATGTTAATGATGGTAATATGTGAAATTGACATTTAAACTCCTTCAGTAAAAAAATATAAAAAATTGTGACCATAGTTAGGTCAGGTCATAACATGGGATAAAACTTAAAAGAAAATAAAAATATAAGAGTAAATTCAAAAAACGCTCTTGTAAAATAGGAGTTTTAGTAAAGGTAATTATGTAAAATCATGTTCTCTATTAATTTTGTTAATTAACAAAAATTGACAAGGGTATACAATAATATCTCAAAAATCAGAGGGGACGTTAGTGAAATATGACTCACATCTAGGAGGTGATAATGACATTTACCCAAGGTAATTAGTAACAAACATTCATTAGTCATTTATAATTTTTTATTGGTAATATACAGCGCAAAACAGTATCACGTGGTCTCTGATGAACACACAATATTTTTCTCAATGTGTGAAAGAATTCGTAGTTTAGACCGGTTTGGAAGGAAGAAGTATCCAAATTTACCATTTTTCAATTAATTATAACTTTTGGCATCGAGTTGTACTAACTTTTTTTGTAATTAATTTTAAATATTATTATCGATTCCAAATAATCCAAACATCTTTAATTCTATTTGATTGAGTTGTAATTCTACTCTTCAATCGTAGAACCTTCCATATGATATTGAAAGAACTCAATCTTGTAGGCCAATGACCTGTAAAAACATATTTTTCTTTTTTCCCAGTTTCTATGTCAACTTTTTTGTTTGGAAGTTCTCTCTTAGAGAGAGTTTGTTTGTGTGTGTTCTCTGGTTAAAAAATAAAAATAAAAATAAAAAAAAAAATTTGGTATTATATCACTTATTTTTTTGAGCATTTACATTATCTTTTTGATAGAATTAACTTAATTTTTGGGGTGCATTTATTTTTTAGATTTACTGGCCACTTTTTGGGTAGTTGTTATCACTTTTTAAGGTTAAATTTGGTACTTCAAAGATTTTTTCGGGGATAAATATATAACCACCTACAACTATATGTTCTCATAATACTGTGTATTAAGTCTGTTAATTGTGTCGGGTGAAGTGAGTTTGTGTCAAAAATATTCAAGTCATACCCGATTCGTTTATTAAACATATGACATAACTCTTTAGACATGAATATTAATCATGTCATATCGGATCTACTCATTTATTAAATATGTGACCACCAAGTAGGGTGGTGTAGTGGTGATACCAGTCTTACTCTTCACCTGGAGATTGAGAGTTCGAGTCCTGGAGTCTCCATTAAAACTCTGAAGTTGACCGTTATGCTAGTCTAGTTAGGTCTAATTTAGAGAGGTATTTCAGGCGCGATTAGGAGTCTTATGATCCCACCGGTGATGGTCTAACGGAATGGTCGCTGAACGCTCTTCCTTGTTTCCACCTTTTTTTTTTTAAGTAAAAAACAAAAACATGCCACTTAAAAAAAATTCAAATACTCTAATTTTATATCGTTAACAAATTGCCACATTTTGACATTACATCATGTCTTCGGACATGACCTACCCCTAATTACCTTAATAAATCATCGATCATATATTTAAGCGGTGCTGACTCAGGTTTGACTCTCTTCAAATTCTTAAATAATTGGGCTATTGGAGAATCCTATAAATTTTCTTTAAATGATAAAAATGTTTCCACATGAGCAAATCTTTTTTTTATGTAAAATAAGTTTGAATTTTTTTATTTGATATCTCAATTGTCCAATCGTAGTACTTTCTCGCTCACATACCAAATTAAATTAGACCTTATGCAAAGCAACATCTTTCACACAAAAAGGTAAATTAATGGTCAATAGCTGATGTGGATAAATCTTTACCCGTTCAAAGAGAATTGAAAAATCATCCAATTATTTAGAAAATGGAGGGGAGCCTTTCCAGGCTTAGTCCAGTTAATCTCCACTCATATTTTGAAAAAATATATTAAAAGGTATAAAGTTCAAGCAGAGTCGTTCAGTGTGAAGATAGTCAAAGCTCAATGTATGTAGAGTATGTAACTCAAAACTTCTATGTGATGTTAATTTGGTTATTGTTGATGCATAAAAATAAATTTATGTACAATCAAATTAGTCGAGTGCATGGTGTAAAATAATTAATGAAGCAATTAATAATAAGAGATAAAGATTGGGTGGTTGAGTCTGGTGACCAAACAATTGAAAACGACAAAGGTGGTCGAAAAAGTCTATTAATAAGAGAGTATAAGGTAATGGTAGGAGAGAAAGAGGGAGCAAGAGTATGCTCAAGGTGAGGTGTGTGAGATCTGTCCCCATGTGTAAGGAGTTTACAATTTATAAGCGTAGACCCCAAATTGAGGCGGTGACATGAGGGTCAAGATACTAATTTATTGGGGAGGAAAACTACAATTGGGAATATGCACTATTTTAGAGTCATGGATATCTCAATGATTGATGTCTTACATGCGTTAACTCTTCCTGAACTCCTGAGTTTTGGACTGTATTGAAGCCATTAGTAAAGTTTGGTATGTCTCTTGATGGTTTGAGCTCAACACATAAACTGGATCCAAATTTAATCTGAATCTGGGCTCATCAGGTATAAATATCTGGATGATATTAATTTTTTTGATTGGGAATTAGAAAAAGTGAGTGTGTCACGTCATTTTAATATAAAAATTTCATTTAACAAAAGATTAACAGAAAAAAAAAAGATAGCAAAAGGTAATGCAATAATGCTAGACTGTGAAACTTTAAGGTTTGAATTTCCTTATTTCTTTTTTCTAAGGGCTTTATATTTGATTAAGCTCCAAATTATGAATTTTTTTACACACTTCTTTGATAAAATGAGGTTAATATAAAATAGGTATTTCTTCAATAAACCATAAACCCTCCATTTGGTAGAAAAATGCCACGTCGGTGTTTTTTTTTTTTTTTGGTCAGGTATTATTATAAGAGAATGAGATGATGAGTTTCGAATCTGCAATCTTGAATTACAACACCAAAGACAATGACCATTAAATTAACCACTAACCTCGTGTCGGTGCTTAAATAAGATGTTACAAATGTGAAATGATTTGTTGACAAGTTCAAAATGGACTTTGCTTTTTCCAGATTTATAATGTAACATAAATTATTTTTGACTTTTAATTTGCCATTAAAGTTATTTTGAACAACTTTAGTATTTGTTGAAAATTTGTTTCCAAGTTTGGTGAATCTTTCATTTAAAAAAGTTACATATATCATTATAGACCACATTACCTTTTATCAT